GCAAGTTCCGCATCTAGGATTATTCTGTAATCAGACCCGGCGATCCTTAATAGCCTAATTTTTGATTCAATCTGGTATTCGCCTAAGGGGCGGGGCTAGCGGGTAAGGCAAAGGCAAAAGGGGTATCAGCAGTTCGAGGAAGAGTTCCATAAGGGGGTTCCCCACAAGCGTTCTATAGAAGGGTTAAAAAGGAGCTAATGGGCTAAAGGGCAGACTATCAGTAGTAAGACCCACTCTAACGTGGTGGATAAGGCGCTAACAATCTCTAGTTCTTATCAGTGCTTCGATGGCGATCCAGATGAGCCAACCGATCAAAACGAGTAAGAGTCCCTTCAGACTAGCAGTTTATAATCAAGCAGTTGATTCGGGCAAGTTAGTTTGACAGCAAGCTGACAAGGGAAAGAGACTTAGCTAATCTAGCTTAGATCTTATCTTATAAAGCTTAGGAAAGTGGTGCCTTACGCAAGCAAGCATCTTTTTTCTTTCCCAAGGCAGGATAATATGAATATAGATAATTCCCTGAGAGGGCTAACGATAAGAGAGCTTCTATTCATCCTTCTTTACCTTTGTTTCCCTGGGAGCCTGTTCCATTTTCAGTTTTGTTTGAAGGTAAGCCATTGTGTAAGCAATTTATTTAGGGAGTCTCAAGTAAGCCTTTCCCGCTGGTGTAGCAGTAGTGAATCTTTCTCTCAAGCAAGCCATTGGGAATTCTCTTGTGAGTTCTCTTGGGAGTTGCCTCCAACCAGTGCTAGTTGCCTTCCTGTAGCAGTGGTTAAGACTTAAGTGCTCTTTCCTAGTCTCATTCCCCAGAGTCCCCTTGTCGCATCTTTCTTCTAGTCTGTAAATAGTCAGAGTGTTTTTATGGAAGAGTGCCCCATATCTGTCCTTTTAGTCTGTGTAAGCCGGAGTGGATTTTTTATTAAGGGAGGTAGGAGTTCGTTACAGGGAGTGGTGCTAAGGTTTTAATTCTTTTTAAAAAAGCGCTAAGTCTTTATTTTGATTGTGATAGTAGGTCTAGGAGGTTTTGAGGATATGGATACGAGCAAAGAAAGAGGGTTTGACCATTGTGAGTGTTAGGGTAAGTGCATCCTGTTGAAAGCCTATCTAGTTCTATTTAAGTTCTCAGCCATTCAGTATGAGTTGGATTCCTTGGTGTGATGCTCAGGTCTTCTTTAAGCGAGTGTGAAGTTCAGTGCCTTTTTTAAGGTGAATGGAATGCTAAGTGCTTCCCCTTCCTTTCGAGAGCTATCCAGGTGAGCTTTTTTTTGAAGGAAGTCAAAGGCAGTTCAATTCCTTTTCAAGCTAGGTTAAAGAGCAATCCTGTGCTGTGATAAAGTAAGTAAGAAAGCTAGAGATAGATATAAAATAAAGCTTAGACCAGCAGGCGGCCAGTAAGGATGAGATTTTATAAAAGCAGGCGCAAGGTCGCAGGAGTCTTCAAATTGGACAATAAGGTAAGCTATTTCATTTAGAAATATACGTTATTCGAAGCCAGCCCTTCCTTCGCTCACTTCTCAGGTATTGGCCTGCTGAAGGAGTCTTCGAGAGCCAGATCAGGGGAAAAGAGCTATTTTAAGCCAGTAAGCTCTCCGAGCAATTAGTTTGAAAGCAGAATCAGGAAGTCAAATGAAAAACAGTTTTCTTTCCGGAAGCACTCTTTCTTCTTAAAGGACTGGAGTCTAAGTTAGCCAGTTTAAGCATGGGCGGCAAGAGCAAGAGACAGCGCTGGGATAAAGCCAGTTGTTGGAGGCTACGCACCTTGAGTTTTTAGATTGAGTTCCAGGGGGAGTTTCTAAATTTGAAATCTTTTTTGCAGTATCTAAGTTTTTTCCAGCAATCTCTAGGTCTTTCCCCCAGGAAGTGAAATTGGCATACTCTTGTCAAGCATAACCATAACAATAACATAGATTTCAATCAGTTGAAAAGCTTGAAGGCGCAAGTGAGAGTTCAATATTTTAGTGCTAAGAGTGACATAAAGAAAGAAGACGACATTCGACATTCATAGTTACTCGCACGTAAAAGCGAGTTTTCCTTTTATTTAAAGGAAAGTCAGCTATTTTTTTTCTTTTTTGAATTAGAAAGAACGGGGCCTTACTTATTCTGTTCAGGGGGGATGAAAGACAAAGAAAGAGATCGGGGGACTTTATGATCGGAGAAAGGAAAGGCGCGTGGTTGGTGTATCACTGGGTCGGTGGGGGAACCCGTAGGAAGGGGGACGACCCGACGAATTCACATCAGAAATCGCCAACATGAACACAAACTAAATCTTGAATTGCGTATAGAAAGAAAACGAACCACTTCTATTCTCGGAGCTGAAGTATATGAAGAATGGCTTGTTGGTCCCTTTCGTCCAGTGGTTAGGACATCGTCTTTTCATGTCGAAGACACGGGTTCGATTCCCGTAAGGGATAGGTACTCGGCCGCTTTCAGTTAGTGTTCATTGCTGAGTGATCACTCGCTATCTGGCTGGAAAAGGTGGTCCGGAAGCTTCCTTTCTCCCATCAATCAATCTCATTCAATCCACCAATCAACGTGTGGTAGCTCCGCTATCTGCAGCGAAGGAAGGATAAGAGCGAACGATTCTTATTCTACTTACAGCCCCTCTATCGAAGCAGAACAAGTAGAAAACTCCTGCCCCAGTTTTTGGGGATTCTATTTCGATCCAAACCCGACAACCCACATCTACATTTATATACGAAATTAGAAAGACCCCTTTTTTAGTTTCGTTTTGGCGTAGCAGCTATATTTCGATTCATCCTCTTTTTCCAAGGATTTCATAATTGGACACTGAACCCATTTCATATGATGGGAGTTGCCGGTGTATTGGGCGCTGCTCTGCTATGCGCTATTCATGGTGCTACTGTAGAAAATACTTTATTTGAAGATGGTGATGGTGCAAATACATTCCGTGCTTTTAACCCAACTCAAGCTGAAGAAACTTATTCCATGGTCACCGCCAACCGCTTTTGGTCCCAAATTTTTGGGGTTGCTTTTTCCAATAAACGTTGGTTACATTTCTTTATGTTATTTGTACCAGTAACCGGTTTATGGATGAGTGCTCTTGGAGTAGTTGGTCTGGCTCTGAACCTACGTGCCTATGACTTCGTTTCTCAGGAAATCCGTGCAGCGGAAGATCCTGAATTTGAGACTTTCTACACCAAAAATATTCTTTTAAATGAAGGCATTCGTGCTTGGATGGCGGCTCAAGATCAGCCTCATGAAAACCTTATATTCCCTGAGGCCCCGTGGAAACGCTCTTTAATGGAACTTTAGCTTTAGCTGGTCGTGACCAAGAAACCACAGGTTTCGCTTG